GGTCCTGAGATTTGGCGTTGGACTTTGAGCACACCAATCCTGCAGATGGAAGCAGCTGGGCAGATACTATTGTGATTCCTCAGGAATTCTACAGTGCTATGTTCTCATAGAGTCTAATATCTGATCATAAATTACCATCTTACACATTTGATCAGGAAAAAAAATCGCACTTCAAGGGAAATGTACCTTGCTGTTTAATCTCATTGTGATTAGGTATAATTTTGTGCTTAATACTGCATATTTATAGACTTTTGATTGTAGTGGGAATGAATGTCTGGGAGTGAGAATGAGGTTCATTTTGAGCAATGCCTTTTCAGCTTAATCCTGGGCATGTTCTTCTTCAATCAATAGTCTATATTCAAGGCTTCCTTTCCTTTCCCTTCCCTTCCCTTCCCTTCCCTTCCCTTCCCATCCCATCCCATCCCACTCCCGAAAACTAATTATTTTACAGTGTTTAATATATTGCAGGCCTAATATAAAAATGTGCTTTCAGGAAATTCTATAAGATGGATGGATTAGTAAGGCCCAGGCAACTCATAATTGAAGACCCCCCCACACACACACACACTACACACACACACACACACACACACACACTAAAACAAAAATCTATGCAGTGGCTTCCACAGTATCTTACTACTTTGTCAGAATGATGACAGTGGTGTCACATGATAAGCTACACTTCTTTGTGATATTCACGTGACGTGTCATGTAGAAAACCACAATATAGCTTCTACCAGCCTGCTCTTTCCCACTACCAACAGATGCTGGTCTTACTATGTGTATTATGTCTCATATGCCTATTTTATATAATAAAGGCTATATACCAAACTTTGAAACTAGCAACTTACAGCTTTAAATCTTTGTCTTTGTTCTTTTTTTTAAAAAAATCAACTTCTCCCTAAGGGCTATTTGCCAACATCTATGAAACCAGAGTAGTATTAAAAGATTTTTCTGGTCTTTCTTTCGTGATAGCACTTAAACCTATATACCGCTTCACAATGCTTTACTGGCCTCTCTAAGTGATTTAGAGAATCTGCATATAGCCCTCAACAATCTGGGTCCTCATTTTACCAACTTCGGAAGAATGGACAGCTGAGTCAACCTTGAGCCAATCAGGATCAAACTACTGGCAGTTAGCCTGCAGTACTTCATTCTAAGCACTGTACCACTGTGGCTCTTATTCAATTGTCTAGAAGCCATTAATAGAAAGCAAGCACTTATGTAACAAGTTTTCATTTGCTTCTCTAAATGCCAATAATGGAGTTTATCTAGTTATTTATTTCCTATTTCAATAAAATAAACCTTTTGCACAATCCTTTGAATTTTCATGTAGGACTACCCCAAATGTAAATATTTTCCACTTCTGATAACATCCTCCCTGATACAGATACTCCTTGACTTAGGATCATTCATTTAGCAACTGTTCAGGATTGCAAAAGCACTGAAAAAAATGTGAGTATTTGCAATTTTGCACATCTCAAGGTCATGTAATCGCCATTTGCAACCTTCCCTGCTGGCTTCCAACAAGCAAAGTCAGTGGAAGAAGCCAGATTCGCTTAACAAGGTTGTGATTCATTTAATCACCCTGGCCAAAAAAAAGCTGGTAAAATTGGGCATGGTGATATCATGACTCACTTAACAACCCCTTTGCTTACCAATGGATTGTAGTCCTGATTGTGATTGTAAGTCAAAGATTACTTAAGCCCATGATGGTGAACCTATGGTAGGCATGCTGGAAGTGGCACACAGAGCCACTTCTGCCGGCACGCAAGAGGTTGCCTGGAAAAGCCCCACAGCATGTGCGTGTGCCGTGCACCCAACAGCTGATTGTTGGGTATCTGGTGTGCATGCATGCATAGGAAAATGGGGATATGCGGGAGCCGCCTGCGCAGAGATGCTCAGGGCACATGGGGGTTGCGCTCGTATGTGTAGAGATGCATGAGGCGCAGGGGAATTGTGCAGGCATGTGTAGAGATGCATGGTGTGCACAGGGGGTTGTGTGCACATGCACAGGGGTTGGTGGGGCTGTGCGCATTGCCTTCTGGGTGCTGGCATGCGAGTGCAATTTTTGGCAGGGGAGATGAAAAAGGTTAGCCACCACTGACCTAGGCATTGGATTGAGTACAAAGTTTTGGATCATCGCACTGTCCATGGTGCTAGAAATTAGGACTGGAGATGGCGGAGGCGAGGGAATGATTGATGCTTGCAAATGGACGATCACTGGAACAAATGTTATATATGCTGACGGCAGCAAGACTATGCATAGAAATGGAAGGTCACCTCAACCCCCCACAATGGATAAATGGCTGCAAAAACTGGTGGAGTTAGCAGAGATGGCTAAATTGATTGCTCTGATTAAAGAAAAAAGCACAAACACCTTTACTTTGACTTGGAAACCACTTCTAGACTTTGTGCTTGAAGTGGAAAAAGATGAAACTGATCTCGGGTTTTACCAATTGGATAGATTTGTTGTTAGAGAAATGGCTTGTTTCTATTAAGAAAAAATAAAAAGTTGAGCGTAGACCTTAATGCCTTATTCAACTGCACCAAAGGAGTTGGAAGTCAATGCTTTCCCCCCCTTTTTCCTACTATTCACTTCCCCGTTTCCTTCCCTAATTTCCCTAATATTTGCTTTTGTATTCTATTTATTTGTTTATTTGATTTGATTTGTCAATCGCTTACAAGATAATAGTTATAAATATATACATAGTTATGAATACATGAAATGGGTACATATAAGAAAAATAAAAGAAACAATAGGACAGGGACGGTAGGCACATTGATGCGCTTATGCACGCCCCTACATACTTCTTAGGAAAGAGGTGAGGTCAACAGTAGACAGTCTAAGGTTAAAGTTTTGGGGGTTTGGGGAAGAAACCACAGAGTCTGGTAGAGTATTCCAGACATAGACCACTCTGTTGCTGAAGTTGTATTTCCTGCAATCAATTTTGGTGTGGTTAACCTTGAGTTTGTATCTATTGTGTGCTCTTGTGTTGTTATGGTTGAAGCTGAAGTATTCATTGACAGGTAAGAAATTGCAATGTATGATTTTATATACCATACTTTGATCAGACCAAAGACAGCGTAATTCAAGGTTTTCTAGGTCTAGAATTTCAAGTCTGGTGGCATGAGGTATTCTACAACGAGTAGAGGAGTGGAGAACTCTTCTTGTAAAATATTTCTAGACTTTCTCAACTGTGCTAATATCAGATACGTAATGTGGGTTCTGGACTGATGAGCTGTATTCGAATATTGGACTAGCAAATGTTTTGTATGCTCTAGTTAGTGGTGTGGTATTACCAGAGAAAAAGCTACATAAAATTAGCCTAACAACTCTTAATGCCTTTTTGGCTATGTAGTTACAGTGGGCTCTAGCACTTAGATCATTAGAGGTGAGTATACCAAGGTCCTTTACAGAGCTTGGATCATCAATAAGGTCTTGACTATTCAGCTTGTATTTTATTTTCTGATTTTTCTTTGCCAATATGTAAGACAGATCATTTATTTGTTGAGATTCGAAGTTGCCATTTGTTTGACCATTCTGATACATAGTCAAGATCTTTTTGAAGGGTAGCAGTATTGTCTGTGGTATTGAACAGCTTTACATCATCAGCGAAGAGAACGCAGTTGCTCTTAATATGATCACAGAGGTCATTTATGTAGAGTATGAAGAGAGTTGGTCCTAGAACACTGCCTTGGGGGACACCACTATTGACAAATACAGAATTTGATAGGACACTCTCAATTTTGACCATTTGTTGTCTGTTTGACAGGAATGCTTCTATCCAGTTATGCAGGTGTCCAGAGATACCATAAGATTTTAGTTTGAGGAGTAGTTTGTCGTGTACCACTGAATCAAAGGCTTTACAGAAGTCTAGGTATATTACGTCTATTGTTTTGCCCTGATCGAGTTGTGTAGTTCATATGTTTTTGCAGTGTAAGAGTTGCAGATTACAGGATAGATTTTTTTCTGAAACCAAATTGTTTATTAGAGAGTAGGTTGTTTGTCTCTAAGTGGAGGATAATGGATTGGTTAATAATTGATTCCATGATTTTACAGGTGACGCAGCATAAAGAGATTGGTCTGTAATTTTCAACTAGGCTGGAGTCTCCCTTTTTGAAGATGGGGATGACTGTGGCTTGTGACCATAGGTTAGGCAAGGAGCTGGTCCTGAAAGATTTTTCAAAGATTATGCTTAGAGGTTCTGCTATGGCAATGGATAGCTTTTTTAAGAAGTAGACACATATTCTGTTCGATCCAATAGATAGAGATGGTTTTAGATTGCGCAGTGCTTTTTCAACATTGTCTTCTGTAAAATCGATATGTATTAGATCATTGTAATTTTTTGTGGTTGGAAATACTGGGAATGATCCATTGTTGTTTACAAATACTGAGCCGAAGAATGTGTTAAAGATGTTGGCTTTAATGGTGTCATCATTGCAGTCTTTACCATTAGGTCCTATCTGGGGTGGGATGGACTTTGAGTCTTTTAGTTTGTTGTTTACAAAATTGTAAAAAGCACAGGTGGAATTGGTGCATAGAAGGTTTTCCTCTTGTTTAATGTGATAATTGGTGCATTCAGTCTTTATCTGGTGGCATAAATTTTTGTATTGGCTTTTGAAGTTGGCAACGTGACCAGATTTGTTTTTCCACCAGAGTGATCTCTTTTTGGATTGAAGTTTCCTTATTGTTATGGGTAATCTGATTTTTTGTTTTGTTTTGTTTTGGGAGTTGTTATTGGTACATATAGTTTAATGACTCTTTTGACTCTAAGTAAAAATATGTTGTAATGGTCTTCAACAGTATTGCATCCAGTGAATAGAGATTGCCAATCAAGGGATGAGAGATCGTTGTCTATAAGATCATAGTTTGTATTTTATGCAATTCTGTTTGTATTTTATATAATAGACTAATAAAACTATATATAGAGGCCAAAACAAAGACTTTCCTGGGCAGATGATCCTTAAAAATCATTTTCTCTTTCATTTATTTTCAGGGAAACATCGGCGCATCCTCAGTTTTATCAGCTGCTTCGCTGCAGGGGTCTTCCTGGGTGCCTGTATTATGCACATGGTGGCTGATGCCCTGGGAGACATCGAAACAGAAATAAGAAAACGACAGCACATGGTGAGTGCTGTTTTGAGAGTCTAGACTTCCATTTTTGCCATCCTGGGAACAGGATTGTGCTTTCAAATGCCGAAGTTCCACAATTCATCATTTTCTATTAGAAATAAATAAAGTACAGGAAACTTAGGACAGGAAAAAATTCTGAACATTCTGCTAGCTTCTAATTTACCAGTTACTGGTGTTATTGCTACTTCATTGATCCCGTCTGCGAGTCAATGCTATAATCTCCTTGGCTATTGTTTACTCTCATAATAAGAAACTTATGATGTAGATTGATCTGAAAATGGCCCAAAGAATTGAGTCTGGATTTTCCTGTTCACTGGCCTGTCCTAATTTATAGGTTCCATATAGTTAAAAAAAAACAATAACAAATTAAACCTTCATACACAAGATCTCTTGAAACCTTATTATCTGTTGAGATTTGGAACATATTATTTTAATGGTAGTGAACTAAATATAGATGATGCTAGAAAAATTGGTCAAATCCTCCTTTGACCAAATCAACCTCCTAACTAATTGTTGATAATTACTGCAAGCAATTTGGGACCAGAGTTAGCAATAATCTTACCTGGTAAGACAAGTAACTTAAGACCGTCTTTGTTAAGATAGTAAGAAAATTTGATTTTCTTCTATCTTCATGTGTATGCATATCTTCTCACCTGCATCTGACAAAGTGTATCTATCTAAAAGGAAGATGCCTTTTGTAGCTGATTCTTAAAAGTCAGTACGAACAGTGATGTTGCAAAAAGATAAATTGTTTGGAAACAATTTAACTTAACTGCCAAATTCAGAACATGGAGATGCATCACCTTCAAATTGATACTTTCATTTCATTTCTGCAGTAGATTTTACTGAATACAGGTCTTGTGCCCAAAACTCTGGTGTCATGTTTTTTCTAGGAGAGTGCCAGACATAAAGAAAATAGCACCTACGTGGACATTGATAATGATTCAGAGGTAAGAGTCCCATTGTTTGAGAACTTTGCTTTCCCTTCATCTTGGCACTTACTAACCAGAAGAGTTTACCTGTAATCTTCCAGATGTTGGGTTCCAACTTCTATTGACCCTTCCAGGGATGATTGAAATTGGAGTTTGAAATCACGTTTGACTCAAAGAAGTCCTAACATCATAGTCCTCAAACTTTCATCATGAGGAGGAATCTGTGAACTTCTAGTATTCTTGAATTCCACAGAGTCCTCATCATGATCAAGATTTGAAGACCATGATGTTAGTAGAAGGAGGCAATGCCTTCTTTGAGTTATACATGATTCCTGGTGACTTCAGGGGTATAGCTGTATATCTTTCTTGCAAAAATACAGAGTGACCTTTGCTTTTTTTTGGATTAATAATGGGTTATTGGTGGTTATAGTGGGTGTTTCATTTGATTTTTTTTACCTCCCAGTTCAGTCTTGAATTCCTAGAATTCCTTTTTTTTCAACAACTAACCAGGCTTGTTCCTCTTTAGCTGTTGGAGATCTGCTAAGATCTGCTAAGTGCTGCTACATAGTTGGATAGAGCAATGTCTCTCAATCTTGTCCTTTTAAGATACATGGACTTCAACTCCTAAAATTCCCCAACCAGCAAAGCTTTTTAAAGTTGCCAAGGCTGAGAAACACCAGGCTAGAGAGAAATAAATTCCTTGACTGTTACCTTTGCAAATCATATTTTATATCATTCTACTTAAAGTATAACCACCAACTCCAATAGTTGGCCCGAATGTTCCAATTCATAACAGAATGGGTGTGGATCACTGAAGATTAAATTTTGTATTGGTTTCCCATTTTGCAATATTTTCAATTACTTAATCTCACAAGCTCAAGCTTCCACTTGGTTTTAGAGCTTCCAAAGATAGCAATACCTACCTTTGATTTTTTTTATTAGATTAGACAACTTTAAATAATTTGTTATAACTTGTCTTAAAGCTCTTCTAATCATGGCTTTTATCTCACTGCTCTAGCTGGTATGATAACTTAGCATGTAAGTAGAAACAGAAGTACTTTTGATTTGCTGTCCTGTTTGAGTTTTAATCTTTTTTAAAATTTGTTTGTTGTCATTTTTCTGGAACACTTTTTAAAAACCAAGCTTTAAAACAAAGACAAGTAAATTGACATACATAAATTTTGAACAATCGCACTTAGGGCGATGTAGTACTTTGGATTTAAATTTGAAAAGCTGTTTCCAAGTATGCTGGCATATATATGTTTCATTCACCAGATCCTCATTAAATTAATGATACTTTATCAGCATCATGCAGTAATTATGAAAAAAACATGGCTGCTTTCAAAACACACTAAAAGATACATTCCAAAATACAGTACATGCCCAACAGTCATATCTGAAGCATTACAAAGCCTTTAAAGCAGAAATTGGTTTTAAAACAACAATCTTGGCTACAGGGATGATTTGGCAAAAGAAACTCCTCCCTCAAATCTAATTTACTTCCTAGAACATTTGCAGATGCAAAGAACCAGGATAACCCAGATAGTTAATAGCAATAACAATCAAATTTAGACTTATATAGCAATAGCACTTAGACTTATATACCAATTTACAATGCTTTACAGGCCTCTTTAAGCAGTTTACAGAGTCAGCATATTGCCCCCAACAATCAGGGTCCTCATTTTACTGACCTTGGAAGGATGGAAGGCTAAGTCAATCTTGGTGAGATTTGAACTGCCAAATTGCAGGCAATTGGCAGTCAGCAGAAGTAGCCTGCAGTACTGCACTCTAACAACTGCACCACCGCAGCTCATACCATTCCATAGTGTGCTTTATAGCATCCTCTAATTGGTTTCCAATGTTACCCTATTGCCCCCAACAATCTGGGTCCTCGTTTTACTGACCGCAGAAAGATAAAACTGTGAGTCAACCTTGAGCCAGTCAGGATTGAATTCCACTGCACAGTTGATTAGAAGGTCAAGTCTATTGCTGCTCACCTATTGAGAGGAATCTTTCCAAACTGATGCATTTGTGACAGAAACTACTAGATAAGTACTGCAAGCTTTAGGGAGGATTTGCTTTCCATCACCTCCTTTCCCTTAACAATCCCAAGCTAGTTAGTCTTTTTACTCCTCCCAAATTTGCTTCATCTCCAGATTCCACTACGTCATTGGACTTCAATCTCCAGAATTCACCACTTAGTAAGAACTTTGTCAGTGTGCGATGGGTTGGGCTAGAGTAGTAAAAACTGTAAGTTAATGTGTTCACATGGTATTTAAGTGATTAGGAACCAACAAATGTGTTATCTTCCACAAACTGTGGGATTTTTGACTCAATGATACCCTATCCATAGATCATGAGAAGGTAACTGTGGTCTTTCAGGTGTTGCTGAACTACAATTCCCAGCATTCCTCAACATTAGCTATACTTCCTGCTTGCTTGCTTGCTTGTATTCGTGTCAGAAGCTCCTAAGGCACTTCCGGGTTGAAATAATCAACTGGTGACATCATAGTTCCCCAGGGTATGCCTGATTCAGGGCTGACCAGCTCAAGATTGACTCAGCCTTCCATCCTTCCGAGTTCGGTAAAATGAAGACCCAGATTGTTGGGGGCAATGGGTTGACTCTGTAAACCACTTAGAGGGGGCTGTAAAGCACTGTAACAGATCATCAGAGTTGGAAGGGACTTGGTAGGTCATTTAGTCCAATCCCCCCAAGTCTCCCAAGCGGGAGACCCTACACCATTTCTGACAAATGGCAGTCCAATCTCTTCTTGAAGGTCTCAAGTGAAGTGGTATATAAATCTTAAGTGTTATTGCTACTTGCAGTCACTCTCTTCGGAACTGCTAGGTGGGCAGGAACTGGAGTGAATAACGGAGTAGCACTTGGGTCTTGAATGGGGAGAGGGAGGAGCTTGCTAATTATCAACCAAACATTCTAGTCACATGAGCCACGGAACTCTTTCCTCTTTTCTTGTTTATTCTGACAGATAACAGGAGGGAAAGAGGCAAACTCAGGGAAGAGAACCCATTTCAATGACCAGGAATCAGCCAAATTTTTTTGAGAAATGAGGCTACCATGGGAGGAAGATTGGGACAAAAAGAGGGAGGGGCACATAAACATGAGCAGGAACTGAACTTCCCTTATTTCCAGTGTTTTGTTTTTCCCCTGAAAGCAGAATGAGGTCCTTTCCTTTATAAAGACCATTATTCTGTGGCTAAACTAAGTAAAAAAGACTTTCTTTTATCACAACTGGCTTGTCCCTTCTCAGGCTTTTCTTCAGAACTTGGTTTCTGTCATCAAGACAAAAGGTTACACCTTTGAGAGGCAAGTATACTGATTCATGTCAGTCCAAGACCAGTGAGATCAGATTTGAGATCTAGGAAACTGGGAGACTTCTCAACCTCACCTAACCCATAGGACTATTGAGATAACAAATGAGTGTTAGAAAAACTGCAGGTTATGTTTTTTCATTCTTGTTCCACAGGGAATAAAAAAGCAAGATTAAAATTTGCTTCAAACACATACAAATACACACATCCTTTAAACCAGTTGTCGGCAACCCATGGCTCCAGAGCCGCATGCAGCTCTTTGGGCCCTTTGCTGTGGCTCCCTGTCCCATCACTGGCTGGGCCTACCCCTTGCCCTCCCCTCCCAGTCACTCCTCACCTGGCTGAGAAGGTAAAGGCAATGGCTGGGGATGGAGAAGCAGCTAGGACTGATTCTCCGGCGCCTCACTTTTGCTGGAGCTTTTTTCAGCCCTTGTTGGTGCTGGGTGTGCCTCAGTCACTTGGGAAGACATGCAACCTGCTCTCCACCCTGAGACACTGGCCCGACCCAGCTGTGACCGACGCTGGCCTCACTAATATGAGGGCTAGTGGGATGAGAATGGGCTCTGGGAGGAGGGGATGACAGAAAGGGGGACAGGCCCTCAGCGCTCAGCTGAGGATTTAAGAAGCTCAGGGAAGCGGGAAAAGGGGTCTGGCCCTCCGAACCTCACATGTCCACCTGTGGGGTCAGGCTCAGAAAAAGCCAGAGCTCCCTCATCAGAGGCGGTCATCTCCCACTCTGTGTGTGTGTGTGTGTGTGTCTATGTCTGTGTGTGTGTTTATGTGTGTTGTGTATTTCTCTGTGTGTGTGTGTGTCTGTTCTCTCTCTCAGAAAGCCGAGGCTGGACCAAGCTGGCGAGCTCTCCTTAAGGCTCTTCGCTATTCCTTTTCTTTCTTTTTGGCAACTTTTTGGAAATCCAGGCTGGCTGAGGAACAAGCACAAGCCACAGTGGAGGCTTTCCTTTGGGTGACTCTCCTCCTACTCTTTCCCCTCCTTTGGCGACCCCCTGGATGGCTGTGGCAATGCACGAGTGGGGAGACCCTCCTCAAGTGAACGGCCACCTGCTCTGCACATGCCTTTGGCTGAGCAGATTTAATGCAGATTTCTCACCACCTAGCAGCAGTCTTCAATGAGGCATCTTTCCCCCATATAACGACCATGCTCAGAGCAATAGTTAGCATTACTGGAGCAGGAATGCAAAAAAGGGCAGGGATTTTTCAAATGAGGTTGCACAAAACCTGAGGTGATGGGATTCCACAAGAGACTAAGCCCGAAAGAGAGAGAGAGATACAGAGATACACACACACACACACACACACACACACACACACACACACACACACACAGAGAGAGAAAGAGACAGAGACAAACAGACAGACAGACAGAGATACAGAGAGTGGGAGGGGGAGAGGGGAAGATAAAGAGGGAGAACGGGAGAGAGATACAAAGAGAGAGTGGGAAAGAGGGAAGATATGGAGAGGGGGGAGAGTGATACAGAGAGAGAGAGAGAGACAGAGAGGGGAGAGGGGAGGAAGATAGGGTGAGGTGGAGAGACGGGAGTGAGGGAGAGAGTGGAAGATAGGGTGAGGGGGAAAGAGACTGGGAGAGAAATACAGAGAGGGGGGAGAGAGAGAGGAGGGAGAGAGAGATACAGAGGGGGAGAGAGGAAGAGGGAGAGAGGGTGATACAGGGAGGGGGAGAGAGAGAAAGAGATACAGAGAGAGATGGGGGGGGTTGTGTTCCCCGGATGAGGTCCACAGAAGTTGAGTTGGAATTAAAAGTATGAAAGTTAATAGCTGAAACAACTGCTAAATATAAGATTTTCTTAGTTTGGGAGGGGGACCCTGAAAAAAATGTAACAACAAACATTTGCCTGTTTTTTTAACCACCGGTTCTCTGCCCTAATGACCAGCTGGATAGGCATGGCTAGGAGGTCATGTGACTGGGTGGGAGTGAGTGATGTTGAGTTGGCCACACCCAGCCAGGTTTTGTGGCTCCCTGGGTGATTTTTTTTTTCTGTGGGAAATGGGTGCACATGGCTCTTCCAAGATTGCATTCTTGGAAATGTTGATGTACCTTTTTTAAAGTGCCTTTGTGTACTATGTGAGAGATCTTTCCTTTGTTCCCAGTAGAAATGTTGATAACAGAAGAGAGTAGGAAATTATTCTCTGTAAAGGAAGTTTCTTTTGAGTAATCCTTCACTGCCACCTGCTGGCCCAACCCTAGTATTGCCACACACTAATTCTACAGAATAAGTAAAAGCTCTTTAAAATATATTTATTTGTCAAACAAAAATTACAAATTCGAACAAGCATAATAAAAAAAAATGTGACAGGGGTTCTAGGCACATTAGTGCACTTACACACTACGGACCTTAGGAATCTCTTAAATATGGGATGAGGTCCACAGAAGTTGAGTTGGAATTAAAAGTGTGAAAGTTAATAGCTGAAACAACTGCTAAATATAAGATTTTCTTAGTTTGGGAGGGGGGCCCTGAAAAAAATGTAACAATAAACATTTGCCTGTTAATTTTGAAGGATTTGAAAACTTTTGTGCACCTTAACAACTGTTTAGTCATGCAGACTGATGAGTGACCTTTGAAAAGTCGCATAGGTAAAATGGGGGTAATTATCCAGATTTTCCAGTGTAGGGATAAAACTATAGTTGATCATGAATAAATAAGTCTTCCTAGTCTTGGATCCTTGGAGCAAATGGAACATCGTTATGGGCAGTGGTGGGATTAAAAAAAAATTTCCAGTTCTATGGCTGTGGCTTGGTGGGTGTGGCGTGGCTTGGTGGGCATGGCAGAGGAAGGATACTGCAAAATCCCATTCCCTCCCCACCCCACTAACCTGCTTTCCAGCTCCAGTCTCCTGTGCAGGGCAACAAAAGAAGACAGATCAGCTGGGACTCGGGAGGCAGAGAATAGATGGGATTGGGACCAGTCAGAGGTAGGATTTGCTGGTTCTCTGAACTACTCAACATTTCTGCTACTGGTTCTCCAGAACTGCTCAGAACCTGCTGAATACCACCTCTGGTTATGGGGCCAGCAAAATCCAGATTCAAGACTCCATTCAACAATGGACATTTGTGGGTCTCTCTGGATGGATCCGACCAGCCTAAAGTCCAAATTACAGTAGCTTGGTGGTAGTAATGACTAACATTTTGTCCATTTGGTTGTCCAGGCCAAAGTGCCAGTGTGCATCACTGTTGGTCAGAGATAGTCATGGATGCCTCTATTCAGTGTTGAGGGGAGCTGCTGTTTCTTTCACAACTGAGTGTCATATGTAATACAGGTCCCCATTCAGCAGCTTGTGTTCAAAAGCAGCTTGCATTCAGTCAGCTTGCCTTTGACTTGGAACAGAGGACTTCCAATATCCAACCAAATTGTTTCAACCTCCAGCTAGATTTCTTTCTTCTTTCCAACACCCCAATTTTTTGTTAGAGTTTTGAAGAACTCATGTTTTTAAGAGAAGGATGAGGGGGGACATGATAACCTCCTACTACTTGAGGGACTGTTACAAAGAAGAGGAGACCGACTCCTAACACTGAAAACAATTAACCTGTAAAATGTCTATGAAAATTCTCAGTCATCCAGGTCAAGGTTGTCCCAAAGGTGCTTTTTCAAGAGGCAACTGGACTTTTCTGGTTTTTCTTTGAAGACGTTTTGCTTCTCATCCAAGAAGCATCTTCAGCTCTGACTGGATGGCGAGGAATAGAAGGATTTATACTCCTTGCAGAAAGCTGGTCATTTGCATCCTTTTAGAAGGTCATTGAAGCACTTGGAGCAGTGGTAGGATTCAAATTTTGTTAGTACCGGCTCTGTGGGCGTGGCTTGGTGGACGTGGCAGGGGAAAGATACTGTAAAATCTCCAGTCAGAGGTGGTATTTGCCAGTTCTCTGAACTACACAAAATTTCCGCTAATGGTTCTCCAGAACTGGTCAGAACCTGCTGAATACCACCTCTGATTCCCACCCCACTCCACGGGAAGATTACTGCAAAATCCCCATTCCCTCCTCACCCCACTAACCTGCTTTCCAGCTCCGTTCTCCTGTGCAGGGCAACCAAAGAAGATCCAGCCGATCATCCGGGACTTGGGAGGCAGAGAATAGATGGGGACAGGGACAGTCTGAGGTGGTATTTGCTGGTTCTCCTAACTATTCAAATTTCCACTACCGGTGTTCCAGACTGGTCAGAACCTGCTGGATACCACCTCTGACTTGGAGAGTTACTTGTGTCATCAGAGTCACCTGAATGGTGCAATGGATGTGAAGCTTTTTTGGAACTGTTGAAAGGACTGTATTGTAAACTGGACATAGATGATGTCCTATCCCTCCCCCTCTGTTGAGAGATACAATATCACCTGTATTCATTGAACAGCCCTCTCATCATTATTGATCTCCAATCTACAACACAGAAAAGAAAGTCCAGTTGCCTCTTGAAAAAGCACCTTTGGGATGACCAGTGACATGGCTTGCCTTCAGAGGTTGCTGATGCTCCATCAGTGGAGGTTTTTAAGAAGAGATTGGACAGCCACATGTCTTCTGATTGAGCAGGAGGCTGGACCTGAACACCTCCAAAGGTTTTTTCCAAATTATTTGTTAGGTTCTATTATGTTACTCTCTAGGGTACCAGAGAGAGAACAATGGGAGGTGGGAAGAGAGCTACAACCTAGAAGTAAGGAGACATTTTCTGAAAGCGAGAGCAATTAATCAATAACAATAGCACTTAGACTTATATACCACTTTCTAGTGCTTTCCAGCCCTCTCAAAGTGGTTTACAGAGTCAATCTATTGCCCCCAACAATCTGGTACCTCATTTTACCCACCTCGGAAGGATGGAAGGCTGAGTCAACCTTGAGCCTGGTGGGATTTGATCTGTCAAATTGCAGTAGGAGTAGCTTGCAGTACTGCACTCTAACCACTGTGCTACCGAGGCTCCTTAGCTTGTTTCCTGCAACTGTGGGTGCTCCATCACTGAAGGCTTACAAAAATAGACTTGGATATTATAAGACCTCCAGCCTTGAGCAAACTGATGGATTAGAAGACCTCTAAGATCCCTTCCAACTCTATGATTATTTTAGATAGTTTAGACCCAGGTTCAACCCTAGCCAGGCAAACTCCTTGAATGGATCTTTCTTCCTCAGTTTCATGAACTCCACAGACCGTTGTAAGAAAAGTAAGAATGTGCTAATGGGAGAAAGAGGAGATTCAACCTGAATTAATACATTGTACAATGATGAGTGCCTTAATTCATAATGATTATGTTTCAAATTTATTCTCTCTCTTTCTCTCCTCACTCCCCTTTCTTCCTTGACAGCGGTACCCATATGGAGAGCTCGTAATTTCATTGGGTTTCTTCCTGGTGTTTTTTATCGAAAGCGTTGTACTCCACTGTTGCCCCCAAGCTGTTCATTCGCATAACAACCAGGAAAATCATGAGGAACACAAGGAGCCCCCACCTTCTCACAGTTCCTTCCGGGCATTTATACTATTCCTGTCACTGTCCTTTCATTCGGTCTTTGAAGGACTTGCCATTGGTGTGCAAAAGGAGACTACAGACACCATCCAACTTTGCCTGGCTGTGCTCATCCACAAAGCCATCATGAGCTTCAGCTTGTCTTTGAAGCTAGTGCAGAGTAGCACCAAGCTCCAATGGAGGATACTTTACCTGGTGGTCTTTGTTCTGATGTCTCCAATTGGTATCAGCATAGGCATCGGTGTGTCTCTTTCCAATGGGGATGGAAGCGGTTTGGCTCAAGCTGTCCTTGAAGGGGTGTCAGCAGGAACTTTCCTCTACATCACATTCCTGGAAATTCTTCCTTACGAGTTGGCTTCGCATGAAAGCCCTTTCACCAAGTTCCTTTTCATCAGCCTAGGCTTCTCTATCATGGCTGTCATTGCCATTTGGGCATGAAACATTGTTCATGCCAGGTAACCTGGGAAATCTGCCTCCCATCAGCCATGTTTGATACATGGACCCATTCCTGTTTGTCTTCTCTGGAATTTTGTGTCTATCCATGTTGCATATGCTATTATACTTGCCTTGAGTGCCCCGACAAAAATGTAGCAAGAGGAGAAACCTATAACAAGACTTCAAGGAAGTTCAAGAGTAAACTAAGTGATCCAGATAAAAATAGTTGACAGATGAAGACATCAAATAGACTCATTTTCACTTCTGGAGGTACTGGAAGGCTATAATTCAGTTTTCTCAATCTCTTGTCCTCCATAAAATGGAAGACTGTAGATTAAAACAAAAGTTAACAACAAAAACATAATGGGAGAAATAGAGTGTTCTGCAGTGAAGGTCAACAATGAAAACATTGTGTTGTGTTGTCTCAACACAAGCCCACCTTTATCTACATGTGCTGGATGGAAGCACAAAAGGGGCATAGCTACAACTATCATAATTCTGCGAAACATTGATTCCTGAGAACGTCTCTGCAAACAAGTCAACAACTACCATTTCTTACTGCTAAGTCCATGACTTGGCTCAAAAAAATCTTTAAGGGTTGGGGATGGAATGTAAGTAATAAGTTGAATGGCCCCTTCCTTTTTTAGGAAGTCAAATAAAGAGAACTCAGGCCATTATATCTGGACTGAGGAAAGGAGAGGTAAAATGTTAATTCAATATACTTTGAAAAATAACACAAAAACATATTCTGGTATCAAAACAATTAAACATAAGGACATAGTCATGTGGATGTCCCTCTTCCAAACAAAACATCTTACTATATATCTTACACACCCATCTAGGATACTATCCGACTAGGAAAAGAACTGATGCAACTGACAATTTCAAACACTAATGTATAAATTCTATTATGTGGGCTGGCATTGTTATAATTATAAAGAATATTCAGCCTTCCCAAACTTTGGAAGAAATAATGTTTCTTCTGTCCAATAAACCTTAGTTTGCCATATGGACCCCCATCCTTCCATTCCCTCTTTTATTTTAGCTGGCCATGTACTGTCAACCAGCACCAAGTAAGCACCCTGTCACTCATCATATCTACATCTACAACAGTATGGTTTTAATGAGTGACAATGGTTTGATATAAGGTCACTCTTAGTAAAGCAAACAGTTATAATCTGATAGCAGCAGTCTTTCACAGTTCAGGATAGAATACTATCAATTTGTCAAACTCTGAATCTAATCCTTCACGATTTATTTATTAAACAATTTTATATAGCCATCCAATGCACATACCATGACTTTGGATGGTGTGCAACTGCCTATCCCATGGCAGTAACAAAAGATTCAACTAAGCCCCTTGATTAGCCTCAAAATGGGGTACCAGGCCCACTGACAAAATCATGTCTTCAAGTATTAGCAGAAAAGCAACAAGATGGAGGTGAATCTTACCTCTGGGGTAATGATATTCAAAAGCAAGGGAGTTTGTAACCATTTGGGCCATTGTATTTTAAGCCAACTGAAGCTTCCAGATGCTCTTCAAGAATAGCCCCATGTAGAATGCATTGTAATAGTCCAGACCAGAGCTGACCAAGACATGGGTAACTGACAAGGGCTGATGCACAACACACAATTGTGCAAAGGCTCTCCTGGTCATGACTGCCACTTGCTTTTTGAGCAAAAGCTGCACGTCCAGGAGAACCTCCAGATTACACACTTGGTCTGTTTAGGGCAGTGCAATGCCAACCATGATTAAAGATAGTAATTCTGCAAGAATCAAGGAGCCCAGACCCAAAGTCACTCTGGCTTGTCAGTTTTCAGTTTTAATTTATTGCTCCCCATCTAGACCTCAAAAGTCTCAGGCATTGAGAAAGAGTAGTTGTAGCATCACTTAACTCACTTGAGACTAGACTATTTAAATATGGCTTGGTTGATGCAGAACAGAGCAGAATTGGGACTGGGACAGAGGTGACAGATGTTTTGTCCCATGGTAGCAAATGATCTCATCCAGCAGTTTCATGTCACCATCATAGCATTTGTATGTCAAACCTGTCTCAATCCATCTTTTAAAAATATGCACGTCTTCTACATTGCTAACGGTAGCAGCAGTCAGCAGCAGTCAGGAGCTGTGAGCAATAGACCAGGAACTTTGGGAACTTTGTAATTTAAATGGGAATACTAAATTATTCACATATGTCTTACAATCTCAGTTTTATACCTATTTTAAGTGCTCTTTACTTTTAGATGCCCAGTTTTTATTATTATGAAATAACTAAAATTCTATGAATTCTAAATGATGTAAAAGTAAAGGGAAATTTCTTAAAAATATAACGATAACAAAACAAGGAATGAAAGGAAATGAATCAGAAGAGAGGAATAATATTTAAAAAGTTCCAGATAGAAAGGAAATCTGGGCTGACACAAAAAAATGGTTAGGTAATTGACACTGAAATGATGGTTAGATTAGATCAGCGATGGTAATCTACTTCCCAAATGCTAAATTTCTGGAATCTTTTCTGGGGGGAGGAGGAGGAAGAGGAACAAGTTATCTCATAGGACTCTAACCTTGCTTTGGCCATGTTCAGATTTTGCAAAAACATAATTTCTCTAGATCTTCAGGGACTAGGGAACTTGAGGGAAAGTTATTATTTTGCCCTATAATTAAGAAAACCACTATGTTGCATTTCTTAGTCTTTGGAGGTATCAAAGCTAGAGAAAGATTACTGGGCAGAAAATAGCTACACTTTGTAAAGGCATTTCATATTTCCTATTTAGCACAAGCTAAAAACAGTAACAAGTCAGGAGCATTCTATGGAAATTTTAATAATTCCTCCTTTTTCTTTTAACCGTCTTCAAGCTTTTGCACAGAGATTTCCTCTTAGGTCTGATTAATAGATGTTGCTTGAAGTGATTACAGCTATTTTTATGTTGCTCATGTATTTGCTGAGATGGGGCAATAAGTCGAAAGTGTTGCCAGTTCAAAACTTTTTGCTTTTCTTCTTCCTTCCTGAGAATGTCAGTGATAGTTTCAAATCCATGTGCCACCAGCCTGCTAAAGATCCAGAGGAACTGTGTGGCAACCAAGATGATATGCTTCTTGGGGCATTTATTTCAATCATATTTAGAAATTTAAGTTTAGTAAATTTCATAAAACAGCCAAAGCAGGATTGTAAGTACCTCTTTCTTCTTTGTTCTAACACATCATATGATTCAAGAAAGCAGATAGAATCCAGGAAAAGAAGCAGATAATTCTGGTTCAGAGGTTGTAGCATTGAGTGGTTTTATCCGTTCAAAAACTTTTAGAGAGGTGGTGCTTAGAATACTCACACAAGTGGCATTTGCTTATAATTGGCTAGCAGTCTGAAAATGAATTTTTAGGGGGGGAAATGTCAGAAGATTGAATGTCTCAAACACACTCAAAGGCTACAACTCCACCCACCCCATGAATGACAGTATAGAGCTCAGTTAAAACAGGAACATTGATCTACCTGTCTTTTTCAACATAGCAAATGCTGGGGACTTTCATAACATTTATCTGGGGGTGGGAAGCAGAATTCAGACATTTAAATAAGGGAAAGTAAAATTGTTTCCAATAACCCATTAGAAGCAGAATGTTAAATCAAGAAATTCCTTTATGAGAATGTCCAGTTTAAATCTTTCTAATCAATTTGTTCATCTGCTGATGCCAATGAATGGAAAGGATTTGAAAATGCACTGTGAAAATTGAGTTCTATGTTGAGAATTAACATACATTGGTTTAGGCTTGTAGTTCTACTTGAATATTCATGTCAGTACTTTTTTGTGAGCCAAAAGTTTATTTTACATATTTGATTGAGTAATTTACTGCAGTTTTTTTAAATATACATACTCTCAGTGTTGATTGCAGAAGGTTATATGTTAATAGATAGTATCCACCATCTATCTATCATCTATTTAAAACTTTAAGCATCATACGATCTAGAAGAGGATTTCCAAAAAGCCCCTCCAACATCTTTGCCTGGATATCTTGCTAAATGTCTCATCCCAAATTATTTGAAGAGTTGTTTACCTTATTATGAAGCTGATATTAACTACATGATTAACATGATTAACAGCAAATTGATTGTTTTGCTATATGTGTTCTAACAAAGAGTAAAACAGATTTATCTTGTTTTTTCATTAACAAACTTGCTTTTCATATGTATCCATAGGATAGAATCCAAAGGATAGAAGTTAGCAAGTGACAGAGTGGATTACATTCTTGTGATGAGAAAGAAACAAGATAAAATGGCTGTCCATTCAGGTGGAAGAATTCTTGTTCATTTACAAGGGGTTGATATGCACTGTTCTGCTCTGTTGTTAAAATAGCATCAGATTTGATATTGTGAGAATCATGTGAAAAGGACAGAGTTTCTTTAAGTAAAAATATAAAATTAAATACTAGCATAAATTGCTGAAATTACATACATTTATAATTGGTTTTGTGATGACCCAGGGTCAGGCATGAAAGCAACACAACCAGAGATCAGGTCTAACTCCCCTTTATTGCTCCAACTTTGGCTTCAAACATCCCCACATTCATTAAAAGTCAAAGCTCTCACACACATCTTCAGAAGCCTCTGGCTGAGAAGGCAGCTGATGTCGCAACGAAGTAGTGCAGATGAGCGGAGCTCTACGATGTCCCACTGATTTCTTCAAGCCAGAAGGCTCTACAGGGCTGAAAGTCACCATGTAGGGGTGATGAAGGTAGAGGGGGTGCTTCATTGGTTGTGGGGAGAGCGCAGTCTCCCTGTTTGACCCCAAGAAAGCCTCTTGAACTGGCAGAAGAGAAGACAGCCATTGTGGCTGAACTGAAGCCGTGACAGCTGAAATGGAAGAGAAGAAAGAAAAGATTCTAACAGTGTGCTTGATCTGGGTAAGAAATGATTTTCTAACTTTGACCATGGAATTTCCCCTAAAACATCCCCTTTGGAAAGTGGGACTCAACTGAGGTGAATAGCAACAACTAAGACCCGGAACCACTGTCCAGATCTGGAAAGGAAGGGGAAAAAATTGTAGACAGAAGAAACCTTAAAAATACAGGATAGATTAGACTGGCTTGTTTTTAGCAATTTAAATTGTTTTAAAATATTGGATTATATTTTTATTGTCACTTGGATT